CAGTGTCTATGAAACTCATTTTAGTGATCAAATATTTATATCTTTTTTTAAAAAGAGTTATGTATTTACTTACTTAGTGTTCTGACTGCATGTACACCTGCAGGCCAGAAGGGGGCATCGGATCTCATTATAGATGGTTGTGAGCCACCATGTGGTTGCTGAGAATTGAGCTCAAGACTTTTGGAAGAGCAGCCAGCCAGTGCTCTTAACCTCTGAGCCATCTTCCAGCGCATACAAATATTTCTACATATCTGTAAAATTTTCTACTGTGCCCTTGATTCTTTGGATTGGTGAGTAAACAAAAAATACAACTAAACAAATTAATTATTAAAATTCATTAACTAAAGCCTCTAGCTTTCTTAGCCAAATACACTCCCATTAATTCTTTTAAATTCTAAGATCTATCCCTTTTGGAAAACATATTTTACCTCCATATAAAATAATTACTGGGCATCCTATAAAAATGGACAAAGAACTATATAAGCCATCTCTAATAAGACACTATGCACCATGAGACTTAAAAAAAACTCTAAAAATTCAAAATCATTAACAGAATTCTCCCACAGTGAATACCTGAAGAAAAACGAAATAACAAAAGCTAAAAACAGGTGACTGTCAACTAGATACATGTTTTAAAGACTCTCTTTAGCCTGCATAGGGAGGACCCTGTCAGGTACTTCCAAAAACCTCGTCTTGAGTTAGAGAACTCTAAAGGGTAACATTTCAGTTTGTATTTCTCACCTCACACTTGGAACAACTTCTAAAGACACAACCACAACCTCATCTTCCAATACATTGACAACTGAACTAACTCTGACAACATCTGTAACGCTTACTCTTTTATAACATTTAAAAAATCCTTTTATGCTTACATATTTTAAAAACTAAGATATTTCATTTTCCTTGGTACATTTTCCTAACTGATAATGCTAATCTTGATTTTAGTAAAGCTACAACAGAGACCTAGAGTACTACGTCCTTTCATTAATCATGTGTTTGCTTACTCAAACCTACTTGACTTAAATTACATCTTGATGTTTTAAATGACTCAAATGTTTTCACAGAAGAATCTTCTCATTTTTCAGTATAGCTTTTTAAAAAATCTAATGTGCACATTGACAGAGACTTATTTTAAATTTTCCAAAAAGAACTCCATTTTAGGGATACTTCAAATTTAAATCTAAACAAGAACCATATGACTGCCTACTAAGAAGAGGGAAGAAAATATTAACTGGGTCTAACCATTTGGGTGAATATGCTATTACTTCTAAAAAGCCGGTGTGATATAACAAATTCAAGACTCTACACAGTTCTGTGGCACACTCAGGCCTCTACTCACTGTGAACAACTAACTGTACACCAATGGGTTTGACTGACTCAAAGTATATGAAACTATCAGTCATCTGAGGGCAACAACACTCAAGGAGTCGGTATCAAAACCGTTCAGAGGCCAGTATCAAAGGCGAGCGCTCTGGAAATATAGGTACTCAATGAGAAGGTTTAAAGCAAATCTACTAAGACTAATTTTAAAAATATACATCTTTAAAAGGAACACATAAAACTATTCTTCCAAAAAGAAGAAACTTACATCTAAGAAACCATCCTTTAAAATCCTTGTTTCCTAATTAAATAAATCTTTGGAGTGTTACATACTGCAAGCCAAGATTTTAAAAGCATGTTGCCCCTTGACATTCAGGGAACACTGCAGAAAAGGAGGTGGAAAATTTTAACAGCCAGAGGATAGGGATGAGGGTTGTAAAACGCTACCTTCTGGACACAGAATGGCCACTGGGCTCGTGAACTCACAGCAGCAGTTACCTATTTAATGGTGCACAAGGACCCACCTCTAGCTCAGAAGCTACTGGAAGCTGGTGGCTGCAGTTGGGGGGGGGATGATCTTATCTTTGAGGGTACCGCCAGTGGCAGGCTGTCCAGAATCAGGCAGACAGTCCTACACCTTTGTGTATACAGGCAGAACTAAATGAACTCAGTGTTCATGTTTTTAAGAGACATAATGGTGGGAGAAAGGTGAAGTGAAGGGGTATCTGGGTTTAGTGGGAGTTAGGGCAGAGATGATCAAAGTACATTATGTAAATGCATGAAATTATCAATAGATAAATAAAAATATACTTAAAATTACTAAATAATACTTTTCTTCTGATAATGAATAGCAAATTGGTAGGTAAAATTACAAAATAACTTTCTGGTTTCTTTCTGATTTTATGATGCCCACAGAATGCTGATCTCTCACAGGCCTGGTCTCCGGTTTCTACCTGATAGTAGTAACAGCTGGTACATACGGAAAAAAAAAAAAAAAAAAAAAACAATTTTGTTGGGAAGGAATTCTAAAAGTATTATCATCTGATTTCTTCTGCAATATAACTATTACCTATTTACTTTCTCAGTCTTTAATCCAGTATAATACCAAAGTAATGGGCCAAATAGCATTTAAAATAATGTGGATGTTAAAGACCAATCTTAAAACAAAAACTGACCAACACAAAGTTATGGCTACAAAATCAAACCAGCCAAAAGAGAGACTAAAATTAAAACAGTAATAAGTTATTTCATATATCCAAACCACAAATAAAATATTTCATAGAATATAAACGATGATAGGCACAGGGAGAAACATTTTAAAGAGCTTTTCTGAGTGGGGCGTTCTTATCTGCTACCTTTAGTTCTTCAGATCATACTGTGTTCTTGTTTATCTTAACTTTACCTACAATGTCTATATTATCTATCACATGTAAATATACATGTCAGATACAGAGGGCAAGAATACAAATCTGGGGCTGGAGAGATGGCTCAGAGATTAAGAGCACTGGCTGTTCTTCCAGAGGTCCTGAGTTCAATTCCCAGCAACCACATGGTAGCTCACAACCATCTGTAGTAAGATCTGGTGTCTTCTTCTGGCCTGTAGGTGTACATGCAAATGGAACATTGTACATATAATAAATAAATCATAAAAAAGAATACAAATCTGACCCATATCCTGAGAGCTAACAATGTTATATGATATGGTTATATGTTATATGTTATGATCATATAACAATGTTATATGATATTCTTCTTAACAATGACCCTCTCCTGTAAACTGCTTTCCTGGCTACTCAGCTTTTCATCTTCATTAGATGCTGGGAATGAGCCTTCTGGCCAACATGGGGCACAGGCCAACCTCCAGCCTCTATACATACAAATGCCTACCATGGCAAGAACGGGAACTATGGACTAAAATGCCACACCAGTGTTAAAGGTTCAACAAGGGTGACGACTCATTACAACTTTATGGTTGTGGGAAATCGGAATTTTGCAGGTCCAGAGCCAGGATATTGTTATTCCTCAATTCTATGTCTGATTGTCTATCCTATCAGTCATTGGGTAAAAGCTCCAGGATGTATTAATTTAACAGACCATGAGCTTCCATCAACTAAAAGTTAAGAATTTCAAAATAGATTAAACCTGTAGCAGAGCTGTCCATCTGTCCATGTCATCAGGACATACTTACTGCCCAGCCTGCTATAAACTGTCTGTCTACCTGGTGTTTCTGCCCATGCACGTGGGAAATGCCTTGATATAAGACTTCCTTTTGTTCTGCGACTATACAAGTTTGCTGTAGTTGCTCCCACAATGGAACTAGCTATTATGCCACCTGAATCCACACTTATAGGTCCCAGTTACTTGTGTTTGGCTCAGAATAAACTCTCTCTTAATTCGGGCACGAGAGTTGTGTTTGCATTGGCAGAGGTAAGATTAGGTTTGAAACTGAAAAGGGACTTGTCAGTGCTTAAGGGAAGAGGGGAGCTTTGAGAAGAGAAAAATGGCCATGCTGTACTGCAGGGAGCTTAAGAAAAGCAGTGTGTTTTCAACAGCTACAGAGGGAACCAATCAGGTGCTCAGCAGCCATTCCTTTCTCAGAGGCTGTTTCAACAAGTGGACATCAGTGAGGTGTCATCAGGCTGTTTGTAGGGTAAAGTCTCAGGGCAGGAGCCTGAGCCATGGCTTCAAGGTGTGAGTAAGGCACAGCTCTTTGAACCCAGGGTTCCTTCACTGTGGTAACTACCTTTAGAAGGCAGCTGTGTGGCTGAGAGAGCATCATAAAGAACCCACTACACTGCATGATAAATGTTTACATGACTGTCTCTTACGGGGAGGGACTAGCTTTTCTCTCCTCTTCCCCTTTGCCAAGCAAAATGGATGTCAATAAATGCCTGTAAGGAATTGAGAGGTAAAACAAAAATAGAAGCAGGTGATGGGAAAGGTAAAAGCAGGAAGGGTAAAAAAGCAGCTATCAAGTATTTAGCAACAACGTAGTTTTCAATGAAGGTGAATTCCATCAACTCCAGGCAGAGGTTCAAAGCAGGGTTAGTAGTTTAGAGAGCAGCTTCTCACGGAACCAGGCTGAGAAGAAGATGCAGAAGTGGGAAGCCAGCAGCAGGACAGGCTGGGCGACATAGGGTGGAGTGGAATCCGTCAGGTGAGCTCCATCCGTTCACCTCTAGCATCTGTTCCGATAGCAAACTAAGACCCTTGCTGCGGAGTTGACGAAACACAGGCAAGTGTGGGGTGCTATAGTGTTCATTTAACAAGTATGAAAGTGTCTGAGCAAAGACATGCTGCTGAGGATAGGGGTGAGAAGCACCTGGACAAAGGTGGGTTGTTGTGGTGGAGAATAGGGGTGACATGAAACACATGTGGACACATGGTTGTTATGCTGGAGAATGGGGGTACATGAAACACACATGGCACACTGTGTGGAAGCAAACGTTTATGGGGCTTGTTAACTGACACCTCAGTTAGTATGACTGACAATGTTATTTTGAGGAAAGAGCTGTGGAAAACTGATGGCTTTATAGGCTACCTACATTTTCCAACATCTTTTCTATAAACACTCCGAGAAAGTAATTTAAAAATCAACAACTTTATAAGGGTATTAAAGAGGGAAACACCTTTGTCGTCACTTCGGTTTCTTCACCATTATCTTAGGAATAATTACCTACCTATTTTGACTCTCCCCCTTTCAGGGCCTTCTCCCATTACTAGGATATTTGCTGGTTTCTAGAAATAAAAATAGAGCATTCAAATTACTACATTTATTCTTTTGACATGCTCCAAAATGGAAATTTCTCATATGAAAATATAATTTATGTATTTTCATACAGTCTAAACTAATTAAAGATTAAGGCATCTTTTACAGTTAAAGCATTTGATATTCTTGAAGTTAGCACTAAATTCATATAGACATCTTTGCCAGGGAAACATATCTATTTTCAAAGCTGTGTCATATAAATAATCATACAATAATTAAAACTATCATTACTATATTTATATCCCATACTTTAAAAACCTGAACAACTTAAATGCACTCATTTTTAATATAAAAATTTCAAATCACAATATAATTACTCTCGGGTAAATAAACCAAATGAGTATTCCTTGGAATACTCTAAGTAAGCATCACTGACATACAGACAGACTCTCTCAGAATTCACATCAACTATAATAAAAGCAAAAGGAAGCAACGCCAAATATAGCTGGCCAGTGGTGCCCCACGTTTTTAATCCCAGCACTCAGGAGGCAGAAGCAGGCAGATCTTTGAGTTCGAGGAGGGCTTGGTCTACAGAGTGAATTCCAGGACAAGGTTACACAGAGAAACCCTGTCCTGAAAAACAAAACAACACAAAAAACTCAATAATAATAGTAAGAAGAAAGAGAGAGGGGGAGAGAGAGGAGAGAGAGAGAGAGAGAGGAAGGAAGGAAGGAAGGAAGGAAGGAAGGAAGGAAGGAAGGAAGGAAGGAAGGAAGGAAACTCCAAACACAAATTCAAAGCACAGGACACTAAAACCCAACGCCAACACAAAGCTCTACATACAAGCACAGATGTTCCATGCCTCTCACACCATCCTCACCTGAAAATGTGTGTAAACAAATTAAGGCAACAGAGAGGGGAGAAGTTAGCCCAGCTCCTCTGAAAACTTGGGAGAGAAAATGTATGTATATGTAATTTATTGTACTCATTTATTCAATGATAGATGGATAGACGGATGGTAAATTTTCTTTTGAGCAGTCTTTTTAAATATCTTTCTTCTGTGCTTTCTCTTTCACCCTCCCTCCCATCTTGCCCACGTTGCTGGTTTTTGTTTACAACAGCACTTCAATGAAAACAGCAAGCACACACACAAATAGTTCAAATGAAGTGACTAGTGATTTTATTAGGGGCAGTGCCTAAGGGGGTGAAGGCAGGGACAGAGTCTCTTAGGCAGATCCTGAACAATCAACAGAGCTGAGGAGACAAAGCAGGGGAGAAGGAGAAAGGCTATGAAGAGGAGAGCCCAGGAAACAGTAAGAAGTTGGACCTAAAGAGGGAGAAGGTTCATACTGGATTGTCTTAAATGTCAAGTGAAGTAATGTGACCCTTATCTGCAGGCAGTGGAGATGGTAAGCAAAGAGACCAGAACTGCTGTGAAGAGATAAGAAAGCACAGAGGGCGTGGTGGAGCTGAGAAACATTTTAGAGAAGTTTACAGGACTTTGTGACTGGGAGGGGAAAAAAACCAAAACCAAAACCAAAACCAGGGCAAAGATCACACAAAGGCCGTGGCTTCATCTGACAAGAATGACTGTGCCTTTTGTGTTGTGGACTTGAAAACTATGTGAGGTATTAACTTGGGAAGGGGGGCAATAGAGCGGGAGATGAAAACATGAAATGCTCAAGCCACACTGCCCAAGAGCTTTGGACTCATTTGGAGTCATTGCCAGGGGAGTGTGATAATTAAGTCAAGGAGAAAGTTACCAGGACAGAGTGGGTAAAATAGCATCAAGTGAAAAACCTTACCTTCAAAATTCACACTTGGTAACTATCCACTGATTGATAATCAGATCGATTACAGAATGTTATACTGAAAACTTCCAGGAATCAAAAGGAAATAATATATGATGACCTTGATTCCAAGGAGCCTCAATCCACTACAGGAAGATGGAGTGAGTTTTAGAATAGAGCATTATGAAAGTATTAAAATCTGGAATGAATAATAACTCTTCTCAGTGAGCATCAGGATAACATTTAGGAAGGTGACTTTGGTAAAGATGGTTAGGATATTAATAAACTCAAACATGAGGAATAGCTTTTCAAGCTCCGAAAGCCTAAAAATACATATAACACAGATATGGGAGATGGCTGGAGAGGTGGCGCTGCAGTTCAAAGTGCTTGCTGCCCTTCTGGGAGACTTCGGTCCCCAGAACCCATGGGTCACCTTGCAATCAGCTCCAACAAGTCTGATGCCCACTTCCGGCCTCTGAGGGCACCAGTATGTCATGAGAGTGCATGTGTCCAAGCACAAACATGTACACACACAAACACACACAATTTTAAAGTCAATTATGAAAATATCACGTTTTGGAAATTTAAAAATATATCTAAAGCATTCTAGGCAAAAGGAGAAACTATACAAAAATGAAAAACACTCAGGACCAAAATATTTAAAAGATACCTTACCAAAACTTGAAGGAAGGTAGCTAATAAAGCATTTATGGCTTTGAGTGCTATGTCAAGAAAAAAGCCTAGACATAAGGAAGTGTGTGCCTGAGATGTTTAAGAAAAGAGGCAGCTCAAGAGAGCAAACAAGAGAAACAAAACACTATGTAATATTATTAAAAAGAGCCAGGCAGCAGTACAAACCGGAGGGGGTTATAACATACATCTTCCAGACAACAGGAGCAAGAACACAGGAGGCATAGGTAGAAATGGAGCCAGTGGTGGCAGAAAAACAAAAGAACCCCTTGAAGGGCTGTACAGCTTTTAGGCTATGTGTACAAGGTAGCTGTGGTCAAGAAAGGAGATGCATGTGGTAGTGCAGGCCTGCAACCCCGGAACTCAGGAAACTGAGGCAGTTCTCGAGAAACACAAGTGAGGGCAGCCTAGACCAAACAGCGACAGCCTGTGAAAGACAGAAAGATAAGAGAAAGGAGGAATGGAGAGGCTGGTTGGTAAAGGGATTAAACAACCCAGGCTGCAGATCACTCCATTTCCATGCCAGCTGGGTGACAAAGCAATTCCTGTAAGCCTTGTAATCTGCATCTTATGGCAGACACATGTGTGTACTTACGTTGGATATATACTCCGAACAGGAGTGCTATCACAATGCCATGCATATCCTCATCTTTACATTTTTCCAAGTGGTTGTTTATACTTTCAGTAACAGCTTCTGAGAGTCCTAAGAGCTACACATCTTTGCCAGTATTATTTTTCCAATTATAAGTTTTAAGAAATTTTGGAATGTGTAGAAAAGTAATTCAGCATGGTTTCAACTCGAAATTTCTCTGATGTCTAATCTGGCTGTTTTGGCTACTTGGATGCCAGTCTTTTATGAAGTGTATGCTTAAGACTTTTGCCAACTGGGCATCAAAGCAGATGCTGAGACTCATAGCCAAACTTTGGGCAGAGTGCAGGGAATCAAATGGAAGAAGTGGGAGATAGAAAGACCTGGAGGGGGCAGGAGCCCAACTGCGCCAAAAAAACTAGGTCCAGAGGGGCCTGCATAGACTGAAGAATCAACCAAGGACCATGCATGGAAAGGACCTGGATCCCCTGCTCAGATATAGCCCATTGGCAGGTCAGTCTCCATGGGAGTCTCCTAGTAAGGGGAGCAGGGATGCTATCTCTGGCATGAACTCGGTTGCCTGCTTTTTGATCACCTGCCCCTGGTGGGATGGCCTTACTAGGCCACAGAGAAAGAGGATCCAGACAGCCCTGATAAGACCTGATAGGCTAGGGTCAGATAGTAGGGGAAGGGGCCTATCAGGACTAGGAGAGGGGCAAAAGGGGGAAAAGGGAGGGAGGGTGGGACCAGGAGGAAGCTACAGCCAGGATACAAAGTGAATAAATGATAATAAATAATAATGATGATAAAAGAAAAAAAGCAACAACAACAAGGGCTGAGGTTGCAGCGCAACAGGAGAGCACTTAATCAGCACACTCAAGAACTTGGGTTTGGTATCCAGTACTTCAAAATTAAATAAAAAGATCTAAGACTAGCCAAGACATTTGTGAGAGGCTATGTTGCAGGCGGAGGAGTGGGTATAGGACTTGGGCTCAAAGCAAAACATTGGCTCAGATAAGATGACCAATGGTCTAGAGTGAGAACCAAGAGGGCCACGACACTGAGAACTTGAAGTCAGTGGAGAAACTATTCAAAAGTGATGTAGGAGCAACAGGTTACCCAAAGATGGAACAAAAAATTAATCCTTACCTTTATATGACATATATATATATATATTTCAAGAGGAATAAAGTATAAATGAAGTTTGAGTAAAAATATAAAAATAGCTTTTATTTCATCTTTAAGACAGGAATTTCCTATAGAGCACAGCTGGCCTGTAACCCATGTAACTCAAGCTGGTTTCAAATTCAGTAACCTCCTGCCTCAGCCTCCTGAGCACTGGGATTAAAAGGGTATGCCATGATATTTGGTGTAGGCTTCTTTTTCCCCCCTCAAAGATTCACTTTATTTTTAACTGTATATGTCCAGGTGTGGCTGTGCACATGAATGCAGTGTCCACAGAAACAAGGCAGCATCAGATCCCCTTGAGGTGGAGTTCCAGGAGGCTGTGGGTTGCTCAATGTGGAGACTGGGAACCAAACTCAGGTCCTCTCCTGGCTAACCTCTAAGCCATCTCTCCATCCCCAAGCAAACTTCTTTATGAAGACAATTTTTTTTTTTTTTACCATAAAGGACTAATAAATTTTGCTACATTAAGATAACCTGCAATCACCAGGTGGGTGGTGGCACATGCCTTTATTTTCAGAGGCAGGTGGCTCTTTGTGAGTTTGAGGCCAGTCTGGTCTACAGAGTAAGTTCCAGGGCAGCCAAGCTAATTTGGTATAATCTTGTATGAGTAACTGAATCACTCTGAATCAGTACTTTCACTTTTACATAATATCAGAGAATGTTTGTAACATAGTTCATTATTTTAAGAAAATAACTGAAATACAAATAAATGCATGTAAGTATAATCTTGGAACAAAACACTATATAATCTTGGAAGTATTATACTGCATAA